TTCCTGCTGTCCAGTTTTCTTTTGACTTCCTCATGTGTAATGTTGCAATGTCAAATTACGCAGAATGAGACTAACAGATACCACGGACTGAATTACAGCAATAATGGACACGGTTATATGCAAATTATAAACATCTGGAGCCTTTTCTACAGATTTACTTGGTTTCAAGTCTTCATTTAAGTTTAAGATAATAAGATCTGATAATAACTGTCAGATTCAGGTGACAGTGAGCAGCTGAGATGAAATTAAACCGACAAAGAAAACATCTCAGATTTTTGTGGAGGCTGATGCATGATTTTAAATGGCTGTGGTTGGTAACATTGCTCTACAATGATAAATTAAACCTTTGTGCGTATTTGCAAGTGGTTAATTTGGGAGTGAAAAATCTGTACCATCTGACATTGACACAACTCAAAGATATAAAAGTAGTAGAAGCAGTAAGGTGGCATTCAGACATACTGTCCTACTTACTCCTCATCAGAAATGATATTGCAAAAGTAGAGGAATTTTAAAGAGACAATAAAAACGTTAACAGATGTGAAAAGCCTCTTATAGGAGGAGACTGAAAAGATCCAGACAGGTTTATCATTCTTATCACCCACAGAGCTCTGAGCTGCCTTAACTAGATTGCTTCAGATATTTGAACTTGCTTCTTAAGGCTAGCTCAGGAGTCTGCACCCTCTATTACGGAAGTCACCAAAGAAATTCTTTGTTGCATAATAAAAGAACGCGAGAACAAGGGAATATTTAATGAAATTGAAAGGTAGCAAATTCAAGTCAATACAATAGGAATATATCTACATATATTGCACAATATAAAATAAAATTATAAAATTCATTAGCTCAGGGGATGTTTGAATAAAAAAAGTATTTTTTAAAGAAAACATAGGCCACTTCAATAGCTAAACAGAAAATACAAAGTTGTGCTAGTTACTGCTACCAAAAATACTGAAATTGCAACAGATTCTCATATAAGAAATCAAAAGCCATTTCCAACAATCAGAGATTGTGATGAGAAAAACACGAAAGGCTGAGGGTTTTCTCCACATCCAGGTACAAGGGAATTTCTTAGATAAATATCTGGAGCAAGCAAATAAGCAAACTGCTATCTGATCTTAACTAAGTTAGCTATTTACATTTTAATGCCTGCATTTCTATGTTAATGTTCAAAATTTAAGAGCAAACTTCCAAATATCAAGAGGAAGCAGTAAGATGGTGTGAAGTAATTTGTATGATTAAAAGCATTGAGAAAATAACATTTTTCTCGGTATAGGTATGAGAAGAGATACTTAATTCATTGAGTAATGTTTTGAACATTATTCATTCACTCTTTTTTTTTTTTTTTCCTTGGTGATATATAATTTAGCTAATTTGTATGGAATATACAGCAGCTCTTCTTTGGTTCTACATTCCTCCAGCTCAGTCACTTTGTTGTTGTCAGCAGAACAAACTCCAGATGTGTTTGCATGGTCTACTGGATAATAAAAATGCCTTTAACAACTTGAAGTAAAGAATGAAAATGTACACAAACTCCAGATGTACTATCAGAAACTTTTTCACGAAAGCAAATAGACTTTTGAACCTTTCCATTTGATAACAAAAAAACTGACCCTCAGGAGGGCAGTTTTAGCAACATAGCTTCGACTTGTGGACACCATCACACACAGTTATGCTGTGGGACGATTACTTGACCATAACTGCTTAAACTCTAAATATTTACACTTGTTTCTTAGATAAAATTAGATTAAAAAAATCATGCATAAAGACGCTCCCTCTTAAGAATTTTATCACAACTAAAAATAGAGCATTTTAAAGTCTTCTTCATAACTGCCTTTTGCAAGTGGTTTTGAAAGACACAGTTTATTTCAGGGTATTGTAGAAACTGGCTTTATTAATTTCTTACTACTGTGAGAGTACTATTCATTAAAAACATATTATCACACTTTTGCAGATCAGATCTCTTTAACTGGCCTTAACCCTGTGTCACTACCATAGAATCTAATGAAAATTATTCTATCATAATTAATTAACTAAAGTATTGTTATTAATAACTATAAGATGTGTATGGTCAAAAAAGACTGAGATGATCACTTAGGATGGTGATTTGTGCAAATCCAAGCCATGTAACGTCATTCAGAAACTTCACTGCACACAGAGGAAAAAAAACCCCAGACCTTCACTATACCTTTTTCTATAGCTCTGTTCTCACTCCACCCAATCAGGGAATTCATAAATGACCACTTGTTTGTACTCATCCCAAATTTGTACAGCCAAGAGTCTCTCCGCCCATCTGTTAACAAAATGCAGCTGCTGAAATCTGGGTAAAATCATTGCAATTTTCTGAATTCTCTTGATTCCTTAAATTATTGGATTAAAATGTGATAATACGTAATTATACACTTATTGTGTTGGGCCCTACAGGGTACTGTATGAGTAAAAGTGATAGCAAAAAGCAGGAGATTAGGACATCACTGGGAGAGCTACAGGCAGAACATGGATGTATTCGAGACCTGAATGATTCCACCTCATCCTGAAAATAAAATAAAACCAAA